ACACCAATTTTTCGCAATTTTATCGGAACATCCATGTCCAATTTCTCCTCTGAAATTTCGCCTAGTCATCTTCTTTTATTGCATCATGTTTATGACTGCTTTCCATCGTAGAACATCGTTTTCATTGGATTTGTCACGCAACGCAGGGGAGCTGACAGAATGCCAAGTCCACCGTACCTGATGCAGAATTGGACCAGTGAAAATCACTTCCATCGTTCTCCACTTTATTGAATGGCTTATTGCTGAACAACTTGGCTATTATGCGGTAATGGATTTTTGAGGTAATGGATAAGCCATTTCATAACGGTACTTGACGGGTTCGAACTGATTTATTTTACTGAGGAGAAAAAGCGAAGAACGATGAGGGGCTAAGCCATGAAGAAAGATTTCACTGTGAGGTCGAAGGTCGAAGAAGGGGAAACTCACCTAGTGGAAAGAAAGCCAAACTCTCCAAGGGTCCGCCTGCCTTTAAACTAGGTGAGTTGGCAGACTCTCTAAGGGTTCCCTTGCCTTTCCCCTAGGTGAGTTAACCATTTGGACCGACGCGCATTCACAGAGAAGGATATGCCCCGGCGATCTAGCATGACCCTCCCCGCGGCGCTACCGGTACGGTACGCCCGACTGGCTAATCTCGTCACAAGCCTCTGCCGTTCAGCAGAGAGGTTAGCGTTGAAGAGGGCAGCACCGATGCATCAGTGCGGAAATCAACGGGCAAGGAAGAGGGTCCCATTTCTCGGGTTCTGGGCCGTTTCTCATGGTTTTTCTTCATCACCGCACCACTGACCACCTCTACTTGATTCGTATAGGCTCTGTTCTAATCGTGAACTCCGCCTTTAATATCCTCTTATCTGACAATATCGTAAACTTTGAGCTAATTGTACTAGACAAAAGACGTTAACATTAGCCGCTAGCGCGTCTCGGATTCTGGGCGACTGCTTATGGAGACGAGATGTCGGGGGTAGCTGGGTTCGCTTTTCTTTTGTTCTACCCCATTAGTGCTTGACGTTTAGGAAGGAAAGGTCTGATTGCATTGAAAAGGTCTCGATGATTGATCCCTCTTCTGAAAAACCCAATTAGTTTTTGATTTCTGCAAGGGCAGTTTGTTGATCTAGAACGCAGGATAATCACTATGCTTATCTTCATCTTTCTTGCATAACTTGTAAAATTGAAACTACTGTTTGTCGGAAATGGAACGAAAAGTCGTTGGATAGGGTCAACCAGTGCTACGCAATGGCAAGGCGAAAAGCGGTGCACAAATCAAATATCGACCGCTTAAGACCAAAATACAAATGAATGTATAGAACATGTGTAAGTGTTTAGAAGGAAGGTGTAACGTCCCATTACTCGCATCAAAACACAGTCTAATACAAATTAATAAATATGCCATGTTTGGTAGCTGAGCTTTCTTTCGTTAGTATTCAGAAGCTAAGGAGTTTTAGCTATGGTAACCAGCTAGCCTAAAGATTGTTTGTTAGATGCGTCTCATGCAGCCGAAAGGATGTAGGGAGCCTAGCAGAGTAGGGGGAGGACGCGAAGCGAGGGAAGCGAAAAGATCGTTGAACTAGCATATACTGTACACACGTATACATATAAGCATTATATATCCATGCTAGAGGGGAAATAGCGTTGAAATGGTACAGCAGGTGATCAAGTCGACTTATGGCAATTCGCTTTAACAGTGGACTGATCAGCTCTTTCCTGAGTTTGACCATCTTAATTTGGTTGAACAGACACTCTCTGTACTGTGCGCTGGTACGTACTTTACAAATTCTATACAATCGTTACGAAACTCTAGTGCAATAGTTTCCTAGTTGAAAAAGTCTACAGATATCCAAAGGAAAGAGGCGCAAGATCCAGAAAACGAGTACTCAAAATCCTTTTCCTCTTCTTTTGCTCAGAAATGGTTGAGACAGTAAATGAGCCTTCGTTCTGCCACTAAGCTCCACCAACAAGGCTTCTGCACTTTGCTACATGCTATCAGTAGACATTTCTTGGAGAAGCTTCACCTTCGTTGCTTGTGATGATTCTAATTTCAGAAAGATCGAAACGGCCTTTCGGTGCTAATTATATAATATGCCTTCTCACAGAGAATACAGTTTTGGTTTTTTGCTCTACCGGACCGTATCTTCTTCGAAGAAAGAGCTGAGGACACAGTTGAAGAGGGTTTTTTGTACAAGATGATAGTAATATCGCTGTGTATCATTACAATGGTCAATTTTTTCTGCCAGCGTGTTTTTTAGGTGTAGACTTTTAGAAGCCTGACGTACGTCGTTTTGGTTACTAACCATAACTGACGTAGAGTGGCGTTGTTCCGCTCTTGCGGTGGTGGACTGGGCCTTTGAGGAAACTATAATATCTCTTCAGGCTAGTGACAAAGTCTTCAAAACCGCGCTGACAAGAAGAATATTATAATCACAACCATGCCGAGGTTCCACAAAGAGAGAAGTTAGGGTTTCTCGTCTTATTTTTCACTTATCTTTCCTTCATTCCAGGAACTTTCGTTCTTGGCAGCTTTTTCATAAAATCATTATTTTGGAGCTTTCGCATTTTTAACAGCTTTGTTTGGTCTGAGGAAGGGATGTTGCTGGAGGCTCTCGCTGGGTCTTCGGAAATAAACAATGAAGAGGACATTCTTCAGTTGTAATTGGCTCGTTTTTGAAAGGTCAAGATTCAATTTAGGGCCCACTTAGGTCCGCTTCCAAGGAAACAAAGAAGTGCTCGTTGTGGCGCTAACTTGAGCAACGTCTGGCCAATTAGTGAACCTCTGAAGGAAAAACACATCTGCATTCCTCATTAGGTCTGTGTATTTGCGTCTGAAGGTAAATTGATTCCGCATAGTGGAACACCCTGCCTAGTCATTCGCTAATACGGCCATTTCTGCCTCGAAAACAGCTGCCAAACAAAACGAAATATGAAACAGAACCGCCTTTCCCTAGGGAATAGCATGCTTGCATGTTCAGGCGAGAGCAATATCGGAAACTGGGCCAGGCCAATGAGGAATGAACTGTGAATGGAACATTACCAATAAAGCGAAGCTGAAAACAGCCGTCTAACATTAAAAACAAGCTAATTTGTTGAAAACATGGTAAATTTAATATTACATTGCAAAAAAGCTAAAGCATGGGAAAAATCGGCAAGTTATGGAGGTTACCTGAAACGACTGGCGAAGGAACCCCAGAACGGGACTGCGGCAAACTCGACGAGTGGTCGACATCCGAGAAGCATCCCAGCCTAAAGGAGAAGCTCGATCCTTTCTGAGGAAAACATTCAAAAATTCAAACTAATAATTTCTAGTTTCGAAGGCCCTAAGGAGGTACCTGGAGAAGAAAATAGTCGGAATTTCTTGTGCTCATTGCATTAGCTATTAGACGCCTCTCTTATCCTCTTATCGCCTAGCTGAAGCTTCAAGGGCAGCTAGAGTAGAGGACAAAATTTCGGGGATAATGAGGAACCTTCAAAAAAGTTTTTAGCAGAAATTTTAGAATCGGCTGCAGGCTTGAGCTCCCCCTCCCCCCACCCCCCCCCTCCTTCCGTTTGTGTCATCTCAGGAATTGTTTACTGTCAGCCTTGACGTGCATCTCGACGGGAGACGAATCCTAAACTCCCTAATCACCAAGAAGTCATTTTTCTCGCCGCAACGAATTGACTTAGCAGTACCAACAAATCTAATCATTCCCCATGGATGAAATTAATGCCCTCTATGGAGTGTAGTCTTTCATCATATCGGAAAATCGATATCTCTTACCTGGGCAGCAGTCATTCCGAGTTGTTTGAAATATACAGCCAAAAGAGGAAAAAGTGATCCGAAAGAGGCGAAAAATGCAAGGTAGAACAGACGACAAATAAAAGCATCCCGTGGGAAAACTCGTCCGAAGATCGTTACCGTACGCTCGCCGGCCGAATTCTCCATGATTGTTCTACGGACCGACACAGAACGTGACTACGGTTTGTAAGATAGGGGTGTTAGACCGGGCAGCTGGGTAGAGATTCGCGTTGGAGTCGCGTCCGTTAATGCGGCAGCATAGGGACGTACGTGAATATCCGCGCGATAGCTGGCGCAGCAGCAATGGTGGCAGCGACGACTGAGGCGACGATCAATGAAGCAACGCCGACTGAGAGTGAGCGAGTTCGAGAGGGAACGAGGGAACGAGAAGACGTCACCCACGTATTGACGACGACTTCGACGACGTTCAGGTGAATTCCAGAAGGCGTTGAGCCCGCGAGGTCGTCGTCACCGTCAAATTGGCTATGCGCGAAATCGCTTTTCCGAAAGAAATCCTAAAACGCCAACGCGCTGAGGCTATGTGAGACCTCGAAAAAGTGAGCGCTCACGTCATTTGAATTGAAGGGATCTGTGAAGACAATTTGGAGCAATTTAGCTGCCGAAAGGTTGATTTTGACGCGCTCGCCTTTCTTCAGCGGGTCCCCAGGGATTTAACAGATTTGGCTCGAATTCCAGGGAATAGCTAAAGATGGCGTCATTATGATTCGACTAGTGATATTGGGCTAGCGGTTTCCATAAGCTGCCTGTGAACAATAAACCACCAGTACGGAAGGTGCGGAGTTTTCTCAGCTCAAAAACTTTTCCAGGCTCTCAGTATCCATTTATTTGTAGACCTCGATGTTAATCTGGTTTTCTTAGAACTATGGCGTTGCTGTGAAGGATGCATCAGCTCTGCGGGGTCTAACGACGGAGGCATCAAGTTTAGGGAGCGCATTGCCAAGGAAAAGATCTTTGAAAGCAATCCAGTCAGAGAAGCTTTCTGACGGGGATCGCTGAATCAGCCTGGATTTAAGAGGAGTACGCGAGTGGTAGCGGCAGAAAATATTTACCTAGCTCTAAGGCGGCGAGGCCGTCGTTCGGGAAGGACGAGAGCTCCAGAGTGAACTGACGACTTGCCACCACGAGGGTGCGTCGAATTTATTTGGGATTCGGAACCCTCACCACATCCTTATTACATAGGTTACTTCAAATGGAAGTGTTTTCGAGGTTTTTCCTCTACAACTATCCTTAGAATTAACAACGCAGAGAACAACGGAGTGCTCCCCTAACGCCATTTTTTAGTTAGTGGATTTGTTCCCTTAAACAAATCCCCTAACTGATCAGGGAAGGTAGAAGCGGCCAGAGTTCATCGTCACTTCCCATAACTTGAATTCACAGCTGGAACGGCTCAAATGATGAGCCCAGAGATCGCTTACAGAGCATTTAGCCCTTTTGTCGGTCGTGCGGGGTCAGTGCGTAGCGTTTCTCCTCCTGGGGTCAGGTCACCTAAAATTGAGACGCCGTTCATTCGCTCGGAGCAAGCTTAGGACTAAGCCTAGGCCCAATCATAGGCTTAGGCATAAGCCTGTGTAAGCATAAGCCTTAACCTAAGTCTAAACCCAAACTTAACCTTAAGCTTCAATGATCGCGCAACTGTGGTGACCTGACCCCAGGAGGAGAAACGCACGTCTCCCGGTTGGGGTATCCAACTTGAATACGTAATACCAACGAGCTTCCGCGAAACCCACCATTAGTGGATAGTGGAAACCCAGCACGAGGAGGCTGTATTTCGTAATACTCAGGGAGTAGGGGGCCGTGTTTGGAGGAATGGGGTCTTATTTTTCGAAGAAAAAGAAAACAAATATATTCTTGGAAATCAGGGAATTTGACGAACTTTCGAGAAATTTAGAAGAAATTCAATGGATTAGTTGCTATTTGGAAAACCTTTGAAAAAGAATTGGATCAATACAGTGCTCTGAACTTTATGAAGTTACTGTTCCTGGAGAAAAATAGGAAAGTTCTTCAGTGGTGTGGGAATCTCTCGCAATAATGCATAAGTTGGTTCTTTCAGTCCTCCCGCTCTTTACGATTCTTTTAATTTTCCCTTACAAAGGTTCCAAACATCAGCCTAAAAATTAGCCCATTACCATCTTCGTAGAGCGCCTGTGGGCTCTATATAGCACTAGATTCAGGATAAGTTTCTTTCTGGCCACGAAAGCATTGCTTTTTACACAGTAGTGACAAATATAATGAAGCTTCAATCGGCACTACGGCTTCGCTGCTTATGGTGCATCAGACTACATCAAAGTATGTAAAAACTTTGCCTTTGCAGTCACCGGAGACATGTTTCCTCAAGCATGTGCCATGAATTTCTCAGGCAGATCAGCACCATATGATAGCTGCAACGGCCCGAAGGAGCCGGACAACGCACATACGAAGACAGTCGTTGGACGAGTTGCAGATGCTCGTTATGTGCATGTGCAGCCGTGAATAGCCTCATTGTACTTGAGCGAATCACTGCAGTGCGCGCTCCGGCACGTTTTTCGACCTGTGTGCCTCTTCACGCCACAGCCTACTGTCGAGTACCTGTAGCTACAGGAAGCAATATAATTCCAAAAGGGACTGGATTCTGCTACGGAGCGGGAAGCGGGCGAAGGAAGTACATATCTCCATTGTCTAAAATCGCGTGATCTGGAATGAGACTTTGATTGAACTTGAGCCGAATATCAATCCACTTCGGCTATGTTTTATGGTATCTGGTATTAGTTCTTCTAGGATGATATACCCTCATTCCGTATGGATCATCAGTCAGACGACCTTCAGTTAGAGTCGATTTACTGTTTAGAGCATATATGATCACGAATGCTGATACGATCCTTATCCTATTGATGATAGTGTCACAAGGGTGAAACTCGTTTTACATAATTTATTAGGCACTTTTCCGAGTGCAAACGCATCGTATTACTTATGAGAGTCCGAAAAAAGCAATTTTTCATTACTAGTGGTAACGTAATAAACGACATTGAACGCGTAGAAGTCAAATGCGATACGGCCATATTCGTAAGAGACGGTCTTGACAGCGTGCGGGATTTCGAGCGCTACCGGGAAATTATGATGAAAAAACTGAAACCCAAGATAAACAAATACTTGTGCGACCTGAATTTTTCTAAATGATGTCGTATACTAATTATGTTAAATATGTCAAGATGTTTCCTGTAGAATAACAGTGATTTCTCTGGATAGGAGTCCAGTAAGTGAACCAACATGAATTTCTTCATACATATTAGTGGTGCCATACAGCTGAACACTGTTCTAAATGGACTGCAAAGCCTGACTCCCTGTGGTAACGCCGTTGTCGTCAGGGTTTCAATCAAAGACGATCCTGGCGCATCTTTCAACACAGGTAATTAATCAACACCCATTTGTCGGTCGGTCTCGTCTCCATTTATAGTAAGCGAAAGTAAACCTTCTGGAACTCATCAGCATTGGAAACTACACCCCGCACGACCACAGTGTTACTGCGATACTTGCAGCATTTCATGCTGAATCTTGCTAGCCAGGGTCATTTTGTTGATCGAGTGAAGTGCCTCCATTACGCGGATTTTCCAGCAAGATGGCATGCTATTTGTCCGAGCTTTTCTTGGGACGCCTTCACGCTCAACTCATGACGTGACATTCATCTGGTATGAATGCATGCACATATATAATGTCGATTCTTTAGCAAACAATATTCACCTTCGGTCAAATAAGCTGTCCATCGTGCCACTATCGAAAAGGGCTAGAAACAGCAGGGACCTTTGGCATTCTGAAAGCAACGATACATAGGGCTCAGCTTTAGTGATACAGTTCATCTTCAGAAAGAGCCAGTCCACCATTTTAGTGTCGAATTCGCACTTCTAAACAAGTCACTGAGACGCTTAGTGCTCAAGGCTTGGATATCTTCACGCCCGAAGGGATCCGCGCTCTAATTTTTTACCTGGGTGAAATACCTAGGCAAAATGATGTTAGGGGTGCCCACTCTTGGGCCAAGACTATGGTAACCAAGATATGTCCCCAGAAACGAACAGAACCTAATGGAACGAACAAACTTTCAAAAAGTGCTAGGCACTCCTTTCTCACAGCAAAACTAGCTTGGGATTGAAATTCGACATCTTTTGCGCGCACATACAACCCTCAAATGAAGGCATCGATATTATTACATGTTTTTTTATTATGCTTTCTTCAGGGAATCCGCACTTTTTGAGGGTTTTGAGTTTGCTTCTACCCTTAGGCTTATTGTAAAGAAAATCCAGCAGAATTCTGTGAAGTACTACTAGGTAACAATTCTTCGAAAGATGTGACTCAAAAAAATCCATCTTTGCAGAGTCGTTACTTTATGACCAGATGCTCTGGACTGCTTCAAAAAGCAAAATAAGGTGTTCAAATCAGGGTCGAGGTGACCGTATTTTTGTTGTTTGACAGGATTACACCTGTTTTTTGATGCGTTTTGCGAAAGCTTCACAAAAGTAGGCTCCCGCTCTCCTGCCCTCCCGCTCAACGGTGCTCTCCTGAAAGAAAAACTGGGTGGAGTTGGGTGTCGACTGGTCCCCGAATCAAATATATAGGTTGTAGGGAAAGTCTTTGCGGTTTTCGACACTTATCGTTTTTCTGGCTTTTTGAAAGAAACAAAACACATGAGGATGCAAGGTAATCACCATTACACTCTATCACTCTTTGCCACTTTTCGGGCAGACTTCGGCTGCCTTTATCAAGGAACTGCCCTGAGTTCGACTCGAAAAATTACTCAACCCGCGATCTATGTCATCTTCATCTTCGGACGTTTTCCCTTGTATGGCATTCGATAGCGAAAGGGAAAGGTGGTATTCTGTTGGATCAGTATCCTGGCTGTACAGTGGGTTGCTTCCCCTTTTCCACCCAGAGTCGAGTCGCTTCTGTCGGGTCACTGTTTTAGTGCGTGGACAAACGTTGTCGTGCAAGAATAATATCATGCCGCAATTTCCATGCTTCTTTGCGATCTCGGTGGCCATTCTATCCAGCTCCTAATAGCACAAGTCCACCGCGAGAGTATGCCAGGCTGGCCCAAGTAGCTCGTAATGGATAATGCCTTAGCAGTCTCACCAAAAACAGATCATAACCTTCAGAGGGTG